GAGGAGGAGGAGGAGGAGAAGATGGAGAAGGAGAAGAAGAAAGGTGCACAATGAAGTTACCACAGCTGAACTTTGAGGCAGATGTTTTGGGATCTGCTACCAAATGAAGCAGAGTTGGATTCCTATATGAAGAAATAGAGATGTGTGGTCTTCTAAAGAGTCCCCATCCCAGATCCAAGATCTAGTGATCAAATCCCATTGCGACCAGAAGTGTGGGATGGAGGGAAATAAGAGATGACAGATGCTACTTTTGGGTCATCCAACCACAACATAGATCTTCCAATATTGTTTGTTCATTGTGTAATAACACATTTTGGAAATACACACACACTCAAACCAATCAATAGTAAAGGATCCATCAGTCAAAAACCACACTGCAGGTCAGCATTTTTTAATGCAAGTAGAAGATTCTGGGAATGTTACTTAACTGCTGTGATACATCTATACCAGTGAAGTTCAGAATGGTTCAGAATGGTTTTTTTTTCCTGTTAGATTGTATGGATGTGAAAGCTGCACTTTGAAGAAATGAGATAGAATGAGCAATTGAACTTTGGTCACAGAAGAAATCCTCTGTAATTCTCACAGGGAACACTAATGATCAAGGCAATATAACATTTTTGATGTATTATGCGGAGATACAGTTTCCAGTTAATCATTGTTGGAGAAGTCAATGGAAAAAAAGGAAGAGACAAAAAGCAGCAAAGAGATCATCATTAGCAGATCTAAAAGGTTACATTGAAGACAGATCATTCTGGAGAAATATTTGGAGAACAATCACCAACACTAACACAATCAATGCATCAATAGAAGCCAACAAAGGCAGTCAATTAATGTCTTCCGGAAGTGATCAAGGCTGAGCCCTTCTATAGAATCACAGCCCAGTTACAACAATTGTAATATCTGGAGTCTACACTATTCTAACAAACCCTCCTTTTATACCTTATACATCATTTCACAACTCTACATGTTGTGGGATCTGTTGAAAGATTCATGATTCCAACAAAGCTTTATTAAGACGTGGGAATGAAATAGATCACTAAGGGGGAGATATTAGAAGGATGTTCCTCCTTTTTTTTAGGAAAGGGAAGATGATTTTTGCACAGAAGTAGTATGTAAAAAGGAAATGCTGATTAGTTACTCATACCTAAAGAAAGCTGACATCCATTTCACTTTCAGTCCCATTCAGCCCAGGCCAAAACCATCCATTTCCAAAAGCATTTGACGTCAATTTACTGTTTCTATTCCAAGTTTGTCCGGACTGAAATAAACAGCGATGAAGTCTCCAGCCCAGGCCAAATATTTATCAAGGGCTACCTGTTCAAGCGATGATATAACTGAAGCACAAAAGGGGGAGGTTGGAAATGATGCACTAGGATGACAAAATGTGCAATAAGGCTTGTTGGTTTGTCACTGAAGTGGATGGATGGCTTGGACAATGAGAGTCATTTGCAAGTTGATGATAACGTATTGATCCTCCTGCAGAGATGGATGGATGGAGAAGGTATAAAAGGAGATCCCTTCTGCTCCTGAGTCTGATGACTGATCCAAGCTGCAGAGGCATCAAAAAGAAACAGAGATGCATCCCCAGATATTGTGTGTCCTGTTTATGCTTTCAGCAGGCTGCTGTATGAATGCTTACCCAGTTTATCCAGATATTGATGGCATGCAAGGTAAGGGCCTTTGCTTATCATGAATCCAAATGTCGTATTAGCTTTCAAGTGCAGAAGGTGTAACAAGAACCTGTTGGATCAAGGTCTTCTCCCATTGGCTGCCCTCCATTTGGGAACTAAGGGGTTTGTTCTTCCAAGATATCTGGAGGATGATCGGTAGGGGAAAATGGGTCTTGGGCACTCTCTGGTTTGCTAAAGTGGCCATAAATTTGGGGAGTCTATAAGTTAGATCAAAGGTCTTCAAACTTGACAGCTTTAAGACTTGTGGACTTCAACTCCCATCATTCCTCCTCCAGTCTTGTTAGCTCAGCAATTCTGGGAGTTGAAGTCCACAAGTCTTAAACTTGCCAAGTTTGAAGACCCCTGAGTTAGATTATACATTCAACAATGTTATTGCATCCAAGCAATTGGCTTCGGTATTGTACAACCAAGTCCCATGTAGGAGAAATTAAGCCAGGCTCCAGGCTTTGTCTACTTCAGCTATAAAATTATCTAATGCAAAGATATATTATTAAAATATATGGATGAATTTATGGAAAAATACTTCTGGGTGTCTACCCACACAAGGAGATGACCTAGGAAGACTGGTGGGTTTTATTGTGGTTCTGGACCCAGTGTGAATTTTTTCTTTGAAGAAAATGAAGAAAATTGGCTTAAATTTATCCCAGTCTTTGGTCCTCCATGGAGTTCATCTCTGACTTGGGCTGATATTATTACCAAGACATGATTTGCTGATAATACCATAAGATCAAAATAGAGTCCTTCAGCTTCTGTTTTCAGTATTGTCCATTTGTGTACTGGTCTGTCTACTTCTTCTTAAGATGTTTGTAGAGTTGGAAACCATCCCACCCCATCACTTCTGCTCAGATTTTGTGCCTACAGATTTTAACTTGGTAGACAATACAATGAGCTTCGTACCTGATGATGTACCTTCTATTGGGCTTCGTCAACCTCGGAACATGAATTCAGCTCACTCTGTTCTGGAAGAAGAAACTAATCAGATCCAGAAAGATAGATGGTGGAATGGTTAGTGAAGATGAAAGGTTTACCATCTTCTCCTTCCCCTTCCTCCTCCCCTTCCTTGTGACAATGCACGCAATGTGTTGAACAAGATTGCATCTTAATCTCAGTCCTCATTGCATTTCCATCTTCAGTATCTAGTTTAGAATGGGATTTTTTTTCTGAATTAACTAAGGGACATCCTTACTGCATAATTCATTTTCTCTTTACTGAAGGAAAACCAGGAATGATTTCCATACTAGTGTGAGAATCAAGGATGTAACTTATTGATCTATTAGATTCAATAAGTCCTATGGGTGATAGCAGGCCCCAGAAGAAAGAGATACGAACCAAAGTTTTCAGCTAGGATGGTTTTAAAATATACCAGAACTCATTTGTAATCCTGCTGAGCCGTTGCTAACTGTGAAAACGTATTTTTTGCAAAGTATGCCCTTGGATGGATAAGTTTAAAACAGGAAGAATGAAACTGTTGGAAATGAGGAACTGAAAGTAATGTACACAGGTGTGTAAGGAAAGTGACAGTGAAGTTGTGAAGTGTGTATGTGATTAGAAGAAAAGTATAAAGGATAGCGTTGGAGATCAGCTTGGGGCTCTTTGATTTATGGCAGTCCTTGCAGGACCTGTTATATGTTATTGGACCCCATTGCAATGGCTTATTAATGTATGTGTATTATTCCTATTATATCTTTTATATCTATTCATTTCTTACGTTCCAAATTATTAGAAACAATAAACCTCTGATCTTAAAGTAAGAATTTTTGTTTGTGTTGCTGTCTGTTTCCTATTGGTATTTTTTATGACACTAGATACAATTAGCTATTTATTTGTCCATGTCCTTCTGCAGCATAAAAACCACTTACGAAGTATTTTTGTTTCTGCTCTTAAGTTTTTCACGTTCTTACAGTTACTCTTACAACTAAAAAATGAATCGACATTTGAAAGGAATGGTGTTTGATTTAATTTATCCAGGGAGATCTGAATTGATACCTGATATCATTTTCTCTTCCTTTCCTTCTTTCCCTTTCTTCCCACTTTTCAAAGTCAATTATAAATATGATAATATCCATTCCCTCAATTTATTCTACTACATTCTTACATACAATGTTGATCTTAGACACGATAATTGCATGATTATTAACAAGGAACTCCATTCAGAAAGTTTGTGTTAATAGTAGTCAGTCCACCCATTTCAAATATATGTCTTCAATTCTGTTTGGATGGGGCCATTCCTAATGGCATAGAGCAAAGTTGCTCAATCTGTCTATCTTAGTTTTCCAAGACTTTATTTACTAATAAGAACATAATTTTATGAAACCTTCTTAACAAATGTTACTTATTCAAATATAAGCATAATCAAGATGAATAGATCCATAGATTTCTTGAAATTTGCATTAGCATAACAGTGGTGGGCCAACTCAAATGTCATCCAATTGTACCTATTTCCAGGAGCTCTTCATCACTGTATGGAGCAATTTCAAAAAATCAGATGCAATCAAAAAATGTTTGAGAAAAAAAAGACCAGATGCAATCAGCAATCCAGAGGCTTAAACTAGAAAGAGGAAGGAGCTAGTAAGGCATTCATATTCAAATCTATTTGGTGATTTGATGGAGTCAAGTGACAGATGCATAGATCATAAAACGTTCCACTAATATCGCCCACCTTGTCTTCGCTCTCTTTTGTTCTTGCAAAATGACCATGCAACATTTCAATGGTGTACATTTTCATTTTCTCTCTTTCTTCTTCTCTGTTTGGGGAGATAACTATTTCTGGATCTCTTTGTCTCTTTGTAGGAGGAAAGGAACCAAGCCAGGACGATTCCCCTTCAAATCTGGTGAGCGTTCTAGGCAGTCTGTCCAATTTGTTGTGTGTGAACAGGACTAATTTACACAGTGCACCCATCTGCTGTATGTATGCACAGACCAAGTTATTGCCCGAAGCTACTGAAAATGGCTGAACTTGTCAAATTTATTTTGCTTCATTTGCTCATTCTTTCCAATCATAAGTTCCTTTCGTCTGGTCTTGTTTGAATTTGAGGTTTTTTTTTTAAATTGAAAAATGCATATGTGTAGAATTCTGTGTATATTTCTCCAAGCTGGTGTTTCCTCACTTGCAAGATTAGCCAGCGTTCGTGAGTTTTACAGATAATTCCACCCACTTACCTCTCATGTCTGGAACACATATTTTCAACAAAGATGCACCTTCTGTTGATAGAACACATTGTAAAATCCAGAGTAGTGCAAATTCTGTTTCTCCCTTAACAAAGAGGTTTAGTAGGGTCATGTTCCCCCAATAGAATTCTTTATTGGCCAAGTGTGATTGGACACACAAGGAATTTGTCTTGGTGCAAATGCTCTCAGTGTACACAAAAGAAAAGATACATTTGTCAAGAATCATAAAGTACAACGCTTCATGATAATCATAGGGTACAATAAGCAATCAGATCATACTAGGAAACAGTCAATATAAATCGTAAGGATACAAGCGACAAAGTTATAGTCATACAGTCACCAGAGGGAGGGGATGGATTATAAGGAGTGATTAGAAGATTAATAGTAATAGTAGTGCAGACTTTGTAAATAGTTGAACAGTGTTGAGGGAATTATTTGTTTAGCAGAGTGATAGCATTCAGGGAAAAACTGTCCTTATGTCTAGTTGTTCTGGTGTGCAGTGCTCTATAGTGTTGTTTTGGGGGAAGAAGTTGAAACAGTTTATGTCCAGGATGTGAGGGGTCTGTAGATATGTTCACAGCCCTCTTTTTGACTCATGTGGTATACAGGTCCTCGATTGAAGGCAGGTTGGTAACAATTGTTTTTTCTGCAGTCCTAATTATCCTCTAAAGTCTGTGTCTGTATTGTTGGGCTGCAGAGCCAAACCAGACAGTTATAGAGGTGCAGATGACAGACTCAATAATTCCTCTGTAGAACTGGATCAGAAGCTCCTTGGGCAGTTTGAGCTTACAAAGCCGTTGGTCATCGTAACAATATTATTATTATTTTTAGATTGAAGATGTCAAGACAATACTATGGAAACTGGAAGCTGCAGATAAGCTCCGGACTCAAGCTTTTGTCAAAGCAGATCAGTCTCCTCAGAAACCAAACAAGAGAGGTGAGCTATCTTTGGGCCTCAATCACCTTCTCCAACGGAGTTGAGTTCAATCACTGGAGACTTCATAGACAACTCCCTGAGCTGGTTTGTCATTGCTTTCTTGCAGGATGTTTCCCACCCCCCAGCTCTCCAAGTTAGTCTTCTGTCAACTAAAAAAAATACTTCTTTGGTCTTTTTAGTTGGCAACAGAAAGGGAGTGGGGAAAGTAGTGCATTCCTTAAATGCTTCGGATAATTGCTAGGCAGCCGAAGCTGTTGGTGCACAAGATTGTTACTGGAGAGCATGATTGATGACTCCTGGCTATGGATGTGTCCCATTGGAGAATATACATCCAGGGGGTGGGGGGAAGACCAGGGTCAAGGGGGAAATGAATGATGTGTCTTAGAGTTGGCTGCACCCAGGTAATGCCGACATGTCACTCCTAATAAATCATTTTTTTTTTACTCTATGAGAGATGTGGCTAGAGACTTATGATTTGAATGGGGGTATATTGTTGGAGCCTTGACATCTTCAGCTCTTGGACTTCCTGCTGGTCTCCCACCCACACTAAACAAATCATGATCTTGATTAATTTTTTTTTTTTTTTTTTGAGATCAGTTAAAATTAGCTTGGTTCTTACCCGAGGTGAAGAACTCTGGCCCATATAGAATAAGGATGGGCAATCCATAGCTATGGACACTCAGGTTACCACACCTCTCCAAAGCTTTTTTGCAGACTCCAAAGAATCTTGATATTGTAGCACAAGCAAAACATTTGCATTGGGAAGATTTAAAAATCAAAATCAAAATTCAATTCTTAAAAATACGAGGGGAAAGGATATTCTACACCCCTCAATTGAAACCATGGACGTTTCCTTTTTAAAAAAATATGCCCCAAATAAACACATAGAGCTGCCAATTATTTATTACTCCTGTAGTAGAACCTATACATGGTTGCTAGAGGGACATAGGATGATATGTATATCATGCCTGCATCATGTAATTGATGGGACTGACGTATTGGATCAAATGTCATGATTGCATTACGTTAATTGCGCCAGCTGTTCAATGAGATTGTGACTCATGTATTGTTAGAGTTAGAGTTAGAATTCTTTATTGGCCAAGTGAGATTGGACACACAAGGAATTTGTCTTGGTGCAAATGCTCTCAGTATACATAAAAGAAAAGAAACATTCATCAAGAGTCAAGAATCATCAGGTACAACACTGAATGATAGTCATAGGGTACAATAAGCAATCAAATCATACTAGGAAATAGTCAATATAAATCGTAAGGATTCAAGTGACAAAGTTACAGTCATACAGTCACCAGTGGGAGGGGATGGGTGATAAGGAGTGATGAGAAGATTAATAGTAATAGTAGTGCAGACTTTGTAAATAGTTGGACAGCATTGAGGGAATCATTTGTTTAGCAGAGTGATGGCATTTGTCGTCCTGATGTCACTGTAGGTTGACATGAACACTGCTGATTGAGTCACCTTTTGCCCAAATTAACAATTTTGGTGGTGGGGTGGGGAGGTGACTTCATGGGTGGAAATATATCTGACCCATGAATGAGGATAAGATTGGGGGAGAATTCAGGGGGATTGATGGCTTTGATTTATATCTCCCCATAGGAGAGCTTCCTCTATCATAATACCCTTCCAATGTACGGACTCCAATCCCTTAATCCTCAGCCAACCAGAAGGTAGTTAGAGGACAAGGAGAATTCATAATATTGCGACTGTAACAGCAGAAGTCTCCTAAAGGGAGAGAACACAGACCTTGCTGTTAATAAATTTCATCTATTTCTTTTTTCCAGCTTGTTTCTGGAAGTACTGTGTCACCAACTGAACTTGGGAAATAGCTGTGCCTTGTCTGCTCAAACTGCAATTTCCAGCCCTCCCCCCAAAGAGAACATCTTCAGATCAAGCGTTCCAGAACGTGGGCTTTCACTTTTGCAGCCACTCATCACTTCCCCATCTAATCTAGATGAGCAATGTCATGTGGGTCAAGATTAAATATTTTGCATTGCACTATAAATAAAACACTTCTGATCTCTGTGAGTTTCAGTTTGCTTCCTGTTTCTCCAGCAATGTTTTAGTTTTACCGGGTAGGGTTGCTATCCCTATGCCCAACCCCCTCCCCGCAAATAATTTATCCAGACTTGGGATCGGCTGGGTTATCTCAAAACAGAGTTGGCCCAGGCGAAGCTCTTATGTTAATGAAGTTTAAATTAAGTTATAGAATAGAATAGAATTCTTTATTGGCCAAGTGTAATTGGACACACAAGGAATTTGTCTTGGTGCAAATGCTCCCAGTGTACATAAAAGAAAAGATACATTCATCAAGAGTCAAGAATCATCAGGTACAACACTTAATGATTGTCATAGGGTACAATAAGCAATCCAATCATACTAGGAAACAGTCAATATAAATCGTTAGGATACAAGTCACAAAGTTACAGTAATACAGTCACAAGTGGGAGGGGATGGGTGATAAGGAGTGATGAGAAGATGAATAGTAATAGTAGTGCAGACTTTGTAAATAGTTGGATAGTGTTGAGGGAATTATTTGTTTAGCAGAGTGATGGCATTCAGGAAAAAAAAACTGTCCTTATGTCTACTTGTTCTGGTATGCAGTGTTTTATAGTGTTGTTTTGAGGGTAGGAGTTGAAACAGTTTATGTCTGGGATGTGAGGGGTCTGTAGATATTTTCACAGCCCTCTTTTTGACCTGCAGTATACAGGTCCTCAATTGAAGGCAGGTTGGTAGTAATTGTTTTTTCTGCAGTCCTAATTATCCTCTGAAGTCTGTGTCTGTCCTGTTGGGTTGCAAAACCAAACCAGGCAGTTATAGAGTGATAGACTCAATGATTCCTCTGTAGAACTGGATCAGCAGCTCCTTGGGCAGTTTGAGCTTTCTGAGTTGGCACAGAAAGAACATTCTTTGTTGTGCTTTTCTGATGACGTTCTTGATGTTAGGTGTCCATTTTAGGTTTCATTTTATTTCATTAAGTGAAGTTTAAGATTGGGACAATGCTGAAGATGCTGCGAATGATCAAAACCACTGGAAAACATTGGCTGCCACATGTGCTCCACACGGGGCCTGATGATGATGATGATGATGATAATGATGATCTGTGTGAAGGCCTTCTGATGGTGAGCAATTTGTAAAAAAGGTGCTGCCATAGTCCATCTTGTAAAAGAGAGATGGCAGGTATCTCAAGCATTTTCCCACTGGAATCAAGAACCCAATCTCACCAAAACGGAATGACAGAGTTGGAAGGGACCTTAAAGGTCTTCTAGTCCAACCCCCTGCTCAGGTAGGAAACACTACACCACTTCAGACAAATGGTTATCCAATCTCGTCTTTAAAACTTCCAGTGTTGGAGAATTCACAACTTCTGCAGGCAGGTTGTTCCACTGGTTAATTGTTCTCACTCTCAGGAAATCTCTCCTTAGTTCTAGGTTGCTTCTCTCCTTGATTAGTTTCCACCCATTGCCTCTTGTCCTACCCTCAGGTGCTTTGGAGAAGAGCTTGACTCCCTCTTCTTTGGGGCAGCCCCTGAGATTTTGGAGCACTGCTATCATGTCACCCCTAGTCCTTCTTTTCATTAAACTAGACCAGGGATCTTCAAATATGACAGTGTTAAGACTAGTAGACTTCAACGCCCAGAATTCCTCCTCCAGTCATGTTAGCTCAAGAATTCTGGGTGTTGAAGTCCACAAGTCTTAAAGCTATCAAGTTTGAAGACCTATGGACTAGAAATACCCAATTCCTGCAACCGTTCTTTATATGTTTTAGCCTCCAACCCCCTAATCATCTTTGTTGCTCTTCTCTGTACTCTTTTCAGAGTCTCAATATCTTTTTTACATCGTGGCGACCAAAACTGGATGCAGTATCCCAAGTGTGGCCTTACCAAGGCATTATAAAGTAGTATTAATACTTCATGTGGTCTTGATTCTATCCCTCTGTTAATGCAGCTTAGAGCTGTGTTGGCTTTTTGGGCAGCTGCAGCACACGGCTGGCTCAAGGTAGCATCTTTTCAGATATATGGATTTGATTAAAAAGCATAAGCTTTTGTGATCCTACAGCTCATTTCGTCAAATGCAGAAGCTTCGTGTGTATCCGATGAAGCTTGTAAAATGTAGATCCTCCACATTGGATGACGAGAGCCGTAGTTCATGAAAGTTTATGCTTTCAACAAAATTTATTCCTCTGAAAAGATGCTACCAGTGACCTAATTTGTGATTACCACAGCCAAGCAGGACTCTTCTCCTGGAACTTTAGCTATTCACTTTTAATGAGCCGTTCTTGGAACTGCAAACTGAAGCTTCCTTCTCCTGAACATTTGGAGATAAAATTTAATTTTGCTTCTTGGAGGAGGAGAAAGCAAGCAAAGTTCAACAGCCTTCCTGACAGATTTATGATACGGGAAGAATATTTTCTACTCTTTTTCTCCTTCCTGTTCTACCCATTTTGTAAATATCGGAGTGGGATGAGGTTAGCATGAGTTCTTATTTAAGAAGAAAATTATTCAGAATGAAGGGGCATTGTAGGGGAAAAGCTGGCTTACAGTTATTTTGGTTTGAGATTTATCAAACTCCGTGTGCATCAAATCTTCAGCAATTTCTTTAATAGTGAGCCTCAAAAGAGTTCTATTATTTGTGGAAGTCTATGAAAATTCTCAGTCATTCAGGTTATGGTTGCCTCAAAAGTGTTTTTTTCCCCCTCAAATGGCAATGTGATTTTTTTTTGTTTTTCCTTGAAGACATTTTGCTTCTCATCCAAGAAAATTCTTCAGTTCTGACTAAAGGGTGGGGAAATGGAAGGATTCATATTCCTTGCCATTACCACTCAGAGAGAGTACTAATGACCAGATGACTGCAAAGGACCTGTTGCCTTTTGAAAAAGCAGCTTGCGGACATTATTTCTGGAATGTATTTTCTCTTGGATCTCTGCATTTTTGCATGTAATGTGTGACTTTAATATCTCTCGAACCAGCTACAAGATTTTAGCTGAGTTTGATGGAAGAAACACGTTGAACCTTTGAACCTTACATATCAGTAACTACCATCAATATCATCTAAGTCAGCAGTGGAGGTTGTATATAAAATAAAGTTTATTATCATTACAGGAATCCAAAGAAAACAGACACATTTTTTTTTAAAGCTAGGATTTTTCTTTCCTTATAGCTACAGAGGAAATTGAAAAGCTCTTAGAGATATTGTGGCTTAGTGTTTTGTGACTCCTAAGGTGTGTCTTGCATAAAAAACTCAGATGATTTAGGTTAAACGAAGATTTTCACTCTTCAATTGTGCAGTTTCCCAGTACTTAGTGAATATCTGTATCTTTGCTTTGCAAAGACTGATCTTATTCATCTACAGCAGGGGTGTCCAAGCTTGGCAACTTTTCAGATTTGTGGACTTGTGAACATGCTAGCTGGGGAATCAAATGAGGTACTAATACCACTCTATAAAGCCTTAGTAAGACCGCACCTAGAGTACTGCATCCAGTTTTGGCCACCACACTATAAAAAAGATGTTGAGATTCTAGAAAGAGTGCAGAGAAGAGCAACCAAGATGATTAGGGACTGGAGGCTGAAACATACTATGAACAGTTGCAGGAACTGGACATGGCTAGTCTAGGGAAGAGAAGGACCAGGGGAAGACAGGATAGCAGTCTTCCAATATTTGAGTGGCTGCCACAGAGAGGAGGAAGGGGTCAAGTTATTCTCCAAAGCACCCGAAGGCCAGACAAGGAATAATGGATGGAAACTGAACAAGGAGAGACTCAACCTGGATATAAGGAAAAACTTTCTGACAGTGAGAACAATCAACCAATGGAACAGAAGTTGTGGGAGCTTCATCACTGGAAGCTTTCAAGAAGAGATTGGACTGCCATCTGTCAGAAATGGTGTAGAGTCTCCTGCTCAAGCAGAGGGTTGGACTAGATGACCTACAAGGTCCCTTCCAACTCTAATAATCTGTATCTGTATCTAAATTATGGATGTTGAAGTGCACAAGTATTAAAGTTGCTTAGGCTGGACACCCAGATCTACAGTATCTTGTTATGTTACCTATTTATATGATGGACAACTTTAACTTGATTCCACAAGAGAGGTCACAAGGAAGAGCCTTGATGCCAAGGAGCTCAAAAATGGTGCAAAATAGTAAGCAGGATTATAACGGTTCATGGCTTGACTTGCAGGTAAAGCTAAGCCAGTATTTTTTAAAAAGCTTGTTAAATAAACCACCTGGCTCGCCTGTCATGCTGAGGCTAAAAACTAACTCTAACCCTATCAATATATTTTCACAAGTTAAGGCAGGCAAACCCTACCCACTGTTCTACCCAGATAACGGGTTACACCACAATTGCTTTCTATTTACTTTTAGCAGCTCTTGCTGCTACATAAGAGCAGAGAAGATTGACACAAGCCAACCATCAAAAAGACGTCCAGCAGATGTGGAGAACTTACAGCCTCAGGGGTGTGTCCTCACCCCAATTTTAAGAGTTCTCTGCCAGCAACTCACTGGCACCTGTGTAAAAGAGCTATCTGAGTTTTCCCTAGCTGCAGGCTGCAGATCAGAATGAAAACAAGAAAGGGCAGGAAGACCAACGCAGCAAGAGACTAAGTAGTGCTACCTCTTCAGCCTGTAGCCTCCCTCGTTGCTTGCCTCAACCCACCCAAGAGAAGGACAAGGACCCTCAACAGGATCTGCTCAACTGCAGCACCTGCAGATGTTTTCCAGAGCTGCTTCTGATCAAACAGTGAGGGCATCTTTGTTGTCCAAGGGAAGAAAATGCAAGGATGGCACTCAGGCTATTTATAAACCCCAACCTAGAAGTCTGGATGGAAAAAAAAAATATATCCTTCCTGGGCGCAGAGGCACATAATCTTCTTCAACAGAGTAGTGTGTTATCAGTTGACGGTTCATATTCTTGGAAGTCTTACAATAATGTCTCGGAATCTCTTAACAAAACTTAGAACTAACCATGCTGGAGGGTCAGATTTAACTACCTTTGCTCCATGAAAAGTGTGCATGCAGGTGAAGAAATGCCAAGGGAAGAATCTCTCGTACATGGCCAACTGATGGACAAAAGGTTTGGCAAGAAAAGATGACTACAATGATTCCCCCCCCCCCCTAAAAATACAAAGTATTTTTCTTTTAAGACTAGTGTAAGAAGAATATTCAGCTTGGGGTCAGTACTGCACACCCAACTCCCTTGGTAGACCTTTGCAGCAGGGTTGGGGTTCAAATTTTTTAACAACCAGTTCTGTTGGCGTGGCTAGGTGGGTGTGGTCAGGTGACTGGGTGGGTGTGGCTTCTTCTTCTTTTTTTGCAGCACCCCCCCACCCCTTTGCTCCATTTTTGGACCTCCTGGGCTTCAGGGAAGTCTCCTGGGGGAGGTGTTTTTGTTCCAAGGAAGCTTCTCTTGAGGCCCAGGAAGGCAAAAAAAATGGTGTGCATGGGGGCGCAGCACACACATACCCTGCTCCCACCCCCCTCCATGCACCCCTTTTTGCCTCCTGGGCCTCAGGGAAGCCTCCTGGGAGAAGCAGTAAGACAGTGAGGGGGATCCCAGCACAGCCGATCATCAGAACAGCTGATCATTGGGAGGGGGAAAAATACCTTAAAGAGTGACTGGGGAGGGGAGAACGCAGTCAGCGATGTCGCACGTGTGTGATAAGGACTGACTGGGCAGGGAGGGGAGGGGTGGGCGGATAGAGGCGGGGCCAGCCAGGGTCACGATTTGCTGGTTCTCCGAACTGCACAGAATTATAACAACCGGTTCTATAGAACCGGTCCGAACCGGTAGAATCCCACCCTTGCTTTGCAGGCACCAACGTCCAGAGCATGATCTTTAGCTCATCTTCTTCGCCACGCTGGCGTAAGTGCGTTCGATCTCCTCATCAGCTGGACAAGTGTGGCCGAACTCATTCCGGGCATAAGCATGACGGAGATAGCGCCAAACTGCAGTCATCTCCGAAGGGATCTCAAAGTTGCGATACTTCTTGGCGGCAATCTAGAAAAACGGGAGAGAACCAACAAAGGGGGGTGGGAATGCCAGTGAGAAAACGAGTTTTGTCAAGAACAAACAATTCACCAATAAACTGCTTCACCACAAATTTGGATGAGAAAGGAAGACCTAACACAAGGGCTGTAACTCATCTGAGAAAAAGAGATGAAGATCCATCCAAGAGCAAGATGCATTCACCTTGATGATGTTGAGTTTGGGCAGAAGGTTGCAGTCTGCTAATGTCATCCGGTTTCCATCCAAGAATTTCCTTTCAGAAACCAGAAGGTCTTCAGCACAGTTCTGGTCAATTTCTTCAGGCAGGGGGTTTCTTAAGTAATCATCCAAGCGCTGGAACTCTTTCAGTAAAGTTTTCTCCAAATCTGGAGCACAAGGGATAAAAAGTGGAAGCCAATGCATCATTCTTCACTTCTAATGGATTATAGATAATATTCAACTTATGGCCACTGTAGGGACCAACATTTCCATTCCTAACCAAGGCAGTTGTTAAATTAGTCACTCCCAGTTTTTTGATAGCAATAGCATGTAGATTTATATACTGCTTCATGGTGCTTTTACAGCCCTCTCTAAGCGGTCTCTAAGCCAGCCTCTTGCCCCCAACAATCTGGCTTCTCATTTTACCCACCTCGGAAGGATGGAAGGCTGAGTCAACCTTGAGCCGGTCAGGATCAAACTGCTGGCAATGGGGAGAATTATCTACAATACTGCATTCTAACCACTAGGAAGGAAGAGAGGGAGGGAAGGAGGAGGTAGGGTGGGCAGTAGCTATACCACTTAGACTTATATACCACTTCACAGTGCTTTAAAGCCCTCTCTAAGTGGTTTACAGAGTATTCCCCCAAAAATCTGGGTCCTCATTTGACCCACCTGGGAAGGCTGAGTCAACCTTGAGCCAGTCAAGATCGAACTGCTGGCAATAGGCAGAATTAGCCTACAATACTACATTCTAACCCACTGCGCCATCACGGCTTAGATAGCACTAGCACTTAGACTTATATACCGCTTCACAGTGTTTTACAGCCCTCTCTAAGTGGTTTACAGAGTCAGCCTATTGCCCCCAACAATCTGGCTTCTCATTTTACCCACCTCGGAAGGATGGAAGGCTGAGTCAACCTTGAGCCAGTCAGGATCAAACTGCTGGCAATGGGGAGAATTAGCCTGCAGTACTGCATTCTAACCACTAGGAAGGAAGAGAGGGAGGGAAGGAGGAGGGAGGGTGGGCAGTAGCTATACCACTTAGACTTATATACCACTTCACAGTGCTTTAAAGCCCTCTCTAAGTGGTTTACAGAGTATTCCCCCAAAAATCTGGGTCCTCATTTGACCCACCTGGGAAGGCTGAGTCAACCTTGAGCCAGTCAATATCGAACTGCTGGCAATAGGCAGAATTAGCCTACAATACTACATTCTAACCCACTGCGCCATCACGGCTTAGATAGCAATAGCACTTAGACTTATATACCACTTCACAATGTTTTACAGCCCACTCTAAGCGGTTTACAGAGTCAGCCTCTTGCCCCCAACAATCTGGGTCCTCATTTTACCCACCTCGGAAGGATGGAAGGCTGAGTTAACCTTGAGCCTAGCGAGATTCGAACTGCCAAATTACAGGCAGCCGGCAGGCAGCAGAAGTAGCCTGCAATACTGCATTCTAACCACTGCGCCACCACGGATCTTTTTGTACCACAGTTGTTAAGTGAGCCATGTAGTTGCTAAGTGAAACCAGCTTTCCCTATTTGATTTGGTTTTTCTGGAGCCATCTGGGAAGGTCACAAATGATGATCCCATGACCTGGGACATTGAATCATCCTAAATGCATGCCGATTTGCCAAGCAAGGCAATTTTGATCAGGTGAGCATGGGGAATGGTTGTAAGTGGGAGGATTGGTCATAAGTCACTTTTTTCAGTGTTGTTGTAACTTCAAATGGTCACTATATGAATAATTGCAAATCAAGGACTAATTTTGCTTATCAGACACAAACATTTGTAAGAGATATTTTAAAAAAAGAAAAGAAATCCCCGTGTGAGAAAAACAGGCCTGTGTTTCCCCCCGTTTCTTACTTTTATTTGCTTCCTTATGGGGGTTCTTGATGTATGCGGAGAATTTGGCAAAAATGTTTCTGCCCACATCCATGGACTCCTTGTTTTGAGGAGTGAGCTGTGGGTACCTTAACAAGAAATGTAATGTTAATTTTCTACCACGCCAATGAATAACACAAGATATTTGCTTCAAAATCAATTGTTAAAGAAATCAATCTCTTGAGGATAAGGAGACAAGATTTTTAAAGCAAAGTTACGATGATACACCCGGGATCAAAAACCTGAATAACCAAAATCCTAGAGAATAAGAATAGAATAGAATGCAGAATAAGAATAGAATAGAATGCAGAATAAGAATAGAATGCAGAATAAGAATAGAATGCAGAATAAGAATAGAAT